CCCTATATTTGTGTGTATGCATGTGTTTGTCTGCAAGAAGCTATGAAGGTGAGATAGAGTAGAGTAGAGTAGAGTAGAGTAGAGTAGAGTAGAGTAGAGTAGAATAGAATAGAATAGAATAGAATAGAATAGAATAGAATAGAACTCTTTATTGGCCAAGTGTGGTTGGACACCCAAAGAATTTGTCTTTGGTGCATATGCTCTTAGCGTACATAAAAAGAAAAGATACATTCGTCAAGAATCATAAGGTATAACACTTAATGATAGTCATAGGGTACAAATAAGCAATCAAATTATACTAGGAAACAATCAATAAATAAATTGTAAGGATACAAGCAACAAAGTTAGTCATACAGTCACAAGTGGGAGGAGATGGGTGATAGGAACGACGAGATCCTGTGTACACCAACTTAAAATTAAACCCAACTGAGCCACATAGGAATTAATAAAGTAATCTTTGTGAAATTGAAGGGTTTATTTTTTTTCTTTGTAAAAGCAAATATTAATTTTGCCTTTTATAATAAACACTTTACTTTTCATTGTGTTGCCAATTTTCTATTACTCATGCCTTGCCTCTTGATTAAGCGTTCTGAGATCTGTTTTTTTTAACCACGTTTTGAAAAACCCTTGTTCGTGTGGGTATCTCTCTCCCATTTGCTCCAGAAGCAGGGTGTAGATTCAGGGTTGTTTCACTAGGGAGATATAGCTCAAGTCATAAAGAAAACTATGACAAAGATATCTAAATGTATAAATAAAGGAATGATCTGTGAACTATATATGGTTCGCCATAGATATCTTTCTTCCTTTTTGGAAATAATAATGGGTGGCCAGGATCCTTTGCCTCTACTGTAGAAAATAAATCTTTATGGTAAGCCTAATGCAGGTAATCTTTGACTTATGACTACAACCAAGCCCAAATTTCTGCTGTTAAGTGAGGCATTTGTTAAATAAATTTTGCCCCATTTTACAATACTTCTTGCCACAGTTGTTAAGTGAATCACTGCAGTTGATAAGTTAGTAACAGGGCTGTTAAGTGAATCTGGCTTCCCCATTGACTTTGCTTGTCAGAAGATCACAAAGGATGATCACCCCAGGACACTGCAACTGTCATAAAGATAAACCAGTTGCCATGCATCCAAATGACCATGGGGATGCAGAAAAGGCTGTAACTGTGAAAAATGGTCATAAGTCACTTTGAACAGTCACTAAATGAACTGTTGTAAGTCGAGGACTACCAGTACATTCCTTTTCTACAAGGTATCCTATAATAGGACATACTAAAGTTATCCATACACATGGGACTATATGTTTAGATGGACCATTTAGACCATTTCTTCTTAAAAACCATTTTTTCAGCATCTTCCTGCTGAAGGTTATCTCTCTTAGGAATATGAATTCAGCTTCAGTATTCATGAAGAAAGGCATAGCTCTTAAGAGAGTATTAGCATCAAAGAGAACAAGGAGGCTGTGCTTTTGGTGGAATGGGAACAAAGGACGGCAGAAATGCATTAACTTCCCCTGACTAGGATCTCCTTGAGGGAAACTCCTCAGCATCAGTGTATTTGCAAACATCTGTGGGATCTTTAGACAGTTAGATTCTGAGAAGAAACATCTACTGGAAGGGACAAAAATGAATTGTTGTCCTTGATACTGGGGCTATACAGATCATCATTTAGCTCTCTACTGCCCCCCCAAAACCTGATTTTGGCTGATTTGAAGAACTGATATAGCTGGGTGCTGTATGATTTGTTTTCTCTCCTTTGCAGGAAGATTAAGCCCTTTTAAACTTGTTGTCCATAGGAGTAAACAAGTTGTGGAGTTGCTGGCTGAAGGACATTCTGTTGTTCAAAAAGTCCAGCTCCTTGAAATGTCTACACCAGGATCTAGGCACCCTTTGAATAATCAAAGATAATTTTATCAACAGGTCATAAAGGTAGGAATATTTGTGTATTTCTAGGAATCTGATCTACAATAGTCACCATAATCTTGGTGAATACTCTGGAAGCTGCAACAGGCTGAATGAGAGGCCTTGAAAAGATAATGGGTGTCCTAATAGTTACACCTCAGGAACATGCTGTGGGATGAATTGATTCTGTATGTGCATAAGTCCAGGGCATCTTTTTTTGGAAACACTTCACTGTTTATCTCAGGGTTTCCATCTGGCACTCGTACTGTTTGGTTTACTTCATGTCTAAAATCTTGTGCTATTATGTGTTCCTCTTGTGGACAATTAGATATTTACAGTTAGATGGCATTTTGTTCCTTTGGACTTGGAAGATTGGGTGAAGTAATCTAAGGCTGATGAATTCTATGGTGTAGCCCTCTTTAAGTTCCATGCACTTCATACAATATGGGTCTACTGATGGGTAAATTGCATTCGGAGTTGTTTGCACGTCCCATCTTGCAATGAGAAAAGGTCGTTTCCCCCCCTCCCCAGCATTGGGATTAAGACTGTTGAAATTGTTTGGGGTTCCATTAAGATGAGTTGTATTCCTTGTGGCTCCTTTTTTTTTTAAAGAAATAGATAGAAATGTTTGGTATACATCTGATTCCTGCTGTTTTAGGCTTCATATTTTTATATTTGTTAGAAGAATAGTTTTCTTTTAATCCTTAGTCTCAATTAGGACATTATCTAGGGCCTGTCTGAATGGTTTGCCGCTTTTGAATGGACCTGATATGAAGACTGATTTTAATTTAGAGTACTTTCCAGTTCATCAACTACAGCTGTCTTAAACTGTTATGTTAGCTGTAGTGCCTTTGGCTGAGAACTGCATGCTGTTTTTCCCAGCATCTGCCATTAAGGCAGAGACTTGGCTAACTTGTTCATGCCTTACACGGGCTCCCTATCTTCTAGAATTGGAATAACTGTTTGCCCTACAGGATTGAAGCTTAGTGAAGATGAACATGGCAAGGAAAGCCCTTGTGGCCTTAGCTGAAACCCTGCATGCATTTTATTGCAGAATCTCTGTCTCCAGGACTGTCTAGGATATCTTCCCTGTCTTCATTTACTATTACTCCCAAAACCAGAGTTGTCATGTAAGTATCCAAAGATATCTTAATTAGGTCTATGGCTACCTATGAAAAGGTACTGAGAAAGGAGATGGAAGAATTTTCATTTTCTCATTGCCCCGAGAAACTTGTACTCTGCTCTGAGGATTTTGTTAAAGGTATCAGGGCGTGGAAGGCATAAGACAGTAAATAGCTACAGGTAATCCTTGACTTACAATCATTTGTTTAGTGATGGTTCAAAGTTACAACAGCACTGAAAAAAAAGGTTATGACCCAGTCCTTGCACTTATAACTGGTGTAGCATCCCCATGGTCATATGATCAGAATTCAGGTGTTGGGCAACCAGTGTATATTAACAACAGTTGCAGTGTTCTGGGGTCATGTGATCACCATCTGCAACCTTCTCAGTCATCTTCCATTAAGCGAAGTCAATGGGAGAAGTTGGATTTGCTTAGCGACAGCACGGTTCACTTATGTGCAGCTATTTGCTTAACAACAGTGCAAAAAAAAAAATCGAATGTGGCTTACTTAGCAACTGCCTTCCTTAGCAATGGAAATTCTGGTCCCAACTGTGATTTAAATTGGGGACTACCTGTACTAGGAAACCACTGCTAATACTGGGTTCAACAAGGAATTTGTTAGGCTCAGGCATTCTAGTTTCTTCAGCCCTGGAGTCTTGCAGACTTTCCTAAGCAGCAAGGGAATTCTGCTTTGTGGAAAAGCCCGGCAGATTTGAGGTTTGGTTTTCGATTTTATTCTCATCTAGGGACAAATCCCTCTCTTCCCTATTTGACAGGTGCTGAAGGAAAGAATTTGAACCATACGTACACCTCACCCTAGGAGTAGGTGCCGTTCCTTGCTTGCTTGGTGGTTTGATTCTTCCCCCTGTGATGATGGCCTCAACATTGACCTCTGTTGCAAATATCATGTAGCTTATTAGCCACTTATCTGACAATCTAGTCTCCTGGGGAGAGCATAGTAATGAGACAAAAGGACATATTAATGTGTCATTCAAGGTTAGTCAGTTGGCTCATTACCAACCATGAGAGGACATATTAATGGACAGCTGTCCATGACCCTGCTAGGTCTATTTTCCCTAGCCTATGTTTGTAAGAAAAAAACTTGGGAGATCCACCTAGACTTAGGGAGTTCCTGGCAGAATATTGGGCTTTCACACAGCTATTTTCTCTCACTGAAAACAATGTTAGTTCTAATCTAAGCCCTGCCTCTGGAGCAGGGCTGTCATTGTGGCTTGCAGGCCGGAAGCATCACGCACTGGCCACACCCACACTTAGTTTAGCAAAGGGGGGAAAAGTCACGATACATTGCGTGACGCCGCCGTGACACCACAAGTTTGACATCCTGCTCTGGAGTAGGTGAAGAGAAGCTCACTAGAGGATGCCCTGCCTCCACTGGAAAAAAAACCCAGAGGTTTCAGTTTGAAATTTGGAATGGATGAGACGGAACTGATAAAGTATCAGATCCCATCACCTTGGAAAGATTTATGTATGTAGATTGAAACCTGGCTTCAGAGCTATGAACAAAGATTAATGATATATAGCAAATGTGCAGAGATTTGGGGAGATGTTCCAAGAGACACCAAGTGTTCTATTTCCATTCTTGTCTGCTTTAATATCTAAATTACTCTTCAGATCAACATTTACAAAACCCACCAAAGCATAAGGAGCTGTGATACAACAGAAGCCAACCGGCCAGCCAGAGCTGTTCATAAATAAGAGGAAAAATTGTTAGATCAAGTCAGAAAAAGCAGACTGCCAGATGGATACTTAAACTTTTAGATCTTTACAGGTTCCACCCAGCTGAGAAAGCTAACTACTATCCTTGTACATAATACATGAATGCATTATACATGAAAAGTTTCTGACAGGTAAATTTACAATTCCTAAGCTCTGCACTAAGTGGAAACATGACATACAATGCAATATCAAGTATGTTCAACATTTATAGTTAAGCATTAAACGTTTACTTATTATTAATAATGTTATTAAATTATCTTATTAAAGATGATAATTTTGTCTATTGCTGCTCTGTGACCATATTATTATCTCTTTTATTCATTAAATATGAAACTCAAGTCAACTGAACATTTTAAAATGTATCACAAATACCAGTGACTAGTGCTAATGGTTGATATGGGTTGCTGCCAGAGTCCTAGGTATCAACCAAATATCTTCTTAAAATATACAATGTTCCGAGTAGCGCAGTTTTTTGTAATTCCGCTGATGTTATTGCAGGAAGCTGAAATTTCTTGATGTGTTTTGTAAAATTCTTGGACATGGTACCAAGTACCCCAATGACAATGAGTATCACTGTTACATGTTTCATCCCTAACTGTATAGTTTCGATGGCCAGGTCGCGATATTTTGTGATATTTCATTATTATTTTATACACAAAAACGACAGCGTACACAGCAAATGAGATAAGTATGCTGGGTTTCATATTACAAATCACAAGTTGAACACTTCCTAAGCATTTAGGACTGCGTGATGTATCGGCGAATTATGCAAGCAGATCCCAGTAAGGTAGCCTTCTGCAGCTGACCAATGGTGATTTTGTCAGCGCCAATTGTTTCCAAGTGCTTGCCTAGGTCTTTAGGCATAGCACCCAGTGTGCCAAGTACCACTGGAACCACCTGCACTGGTTTATGCCAGAGTCTCTGCAGTTGGATTTTCAAGTCCTGATATCTGGTGATTTTTTCAAGTTGTTTCTCATTGATTCTGTTGTCACCAGATATGGCAATGTTGACGATCCACACTTTTCTTCTCCACAGTTATGATATCCAGGGTATTATGTTCCAAAACTTTGTCAATCTGTATTCGGAAGTCCCACAGTAGTTTTGCATGCTCATTTTTGACCACTTTTTCAGGCTTATAATCCCACCAGTTCTTTGCTACAGGCAGATGGTAGTTGTGACACAAGTTCCAGTGGACCATCTGAGCGACTGTGTTGTTACGTTGTTTGTAGTCAGTCTGAGTGACTGTCTTGCAACAGCTCAGTATGTGATCGATGGTTTCATCTGCTTCTTTGCAGAGTCTACATTTGGGGTCATCAGCAAATTTTTCAATTCTGGCTTTGATTGCATTCGTTCTGATAGCTTGTTCTTGGGCTGTCTCTTTCTTCAGTGTTCCGTTGGTCAGCCATAACCAGGTTTTTTCCTTATCTACTTTTCCCAGCTGGCGCAGCACCCCCCATGGGGTGCCCCCTTGACGTGGCGGGGGACTTAACTGCTCCAATGAAGCTGAGAGCTGTGCTGGCGGTAGTGCAAAATACCAGCAGGTCCAACCATGCCAGAGAGGTCTCAGCCGAGGAGCAGGATTGAGTGCACCCAACAACCCATGCAATGAATCATGGTGAAACACAACCAAACGAAGCCTATATCGGCTCGGTCGTCGCCTGGGTTAACAAGGACTGCGTCGGGTGCTGGGGAACCTGGGCATCCGCCGACAAGTGGGCTACAGGCCATGGGTCCCATAGCTCAGCAACTAGGGCATGAGCCTGCAGGGCTACTGGAGGCTGAACAACTTCAGAAGCGGCAGAAATACACTATGTCAGAGAACCGCACTGTAATGAAATGGTACTACAAAGCAGAACCAGAAAAATGAGGTTACCAAAAAAAAAGATGCTGATGATTATTATTATGACAGTATACACAGCAAACGAGATAACCATGCTGGATTTCGTATCACAAATCACTAGTCGAAAACTTCCCAAGTGTTTAGGACTGCATGATGTATCGGCGGATTATCTAAGCAGATCCCAGTAAGGTGGCCTTCTGCAGCTGACCAATGGTGATTTTGTCAGCACCAATTGTTTTTAAATGCTTGCCTAGGTCTTAAGGCACAGCACCCAGTGTGCCGAGTACCACTGGAACTACCCACACTGGTTTATGCCAGAGTCTCTGCAGTTCGATTCTCAAGTCCTGATATTATTATTATTATTATTATTATTATTATCATCATCATCATCATCATCATCACAACCACTATCACTCTCATCATTTACAGTATTACGTAGAGATACACAGCAGAAATTGTGTTTACCTGTTTTTGCTCAAACACGGCCTCTTCTTTGTTTTTGTGACATCTGGTAGCCTTTTCTTAGATGTCATTTGCTGATAAGCCTTCATCCCAACTTGGTTTCTCATTTGTAACAGCTCCCCAAAAGACATTGAAGACAATTCTGAAGGAAAAGGAAAAGAAAGACAAAGATATACAGAGATACACCAAAGTATCTGAAATATTTGCACCAGCCTTTGGCAATCAAGCACTCTCAGATGTATTGATTTAACATGTGGAATTTTCAGCAATGGACCGTGCTGCCTCAGATACTCAAGTTAGGAAAACTGATTGACATATTTAGTTATTGATTTTCTGCACCACTGCAATCCAGAAACTCTCGGCAGCTTACATAAAGAATAAAATAAAATCAACACATTTATAAAAGAATAAAATAACCTGCACAAAAACCATAAACAATAAAAATAAAAACTGAACATGGCTTGATACAATCAGGTGAAGCAGACATGTATTGAATGTTGAAATTCCTTAACATAAAATATTGCTTCCTCCATGTTCTCCAGATACGTAGACAAACAGATAGGTAATGGTTTTTTTGGTCATTGATTGTTAAAAATACAATCAGTAAAATGACAACGCAAAAGTGAGAAAATTCTGATGGAGGAGGAAGTGATTAAGAAAATAATGGAATGTGCAGAAATGACTAGACTAATTAGCAATTAAAGAGCAAGAAGAAAAAGTATTTTCAATGGCTAGATAGTAGAGTAAGAAACTGAAGTATATTGTAATAGTAATTATATATTATAATTTAATATTTCTAAATTAGTTATATTATGAATATAATTTAGTAAGAATTGAGATTTATTTTTAAAGATAGCCTGGAACTGAAATTAAAACTTTAATGATAGTATAATAATGATATAATATGATATGGAATGTGTATTAGAATATGATATGAATGTAAAGTTAAGAGGAAAGGATTATAGATACTGTGCACATGATATATGTACCAAACCGACACATTGTAAAATTGAAAAAAGGTTTTATTTGTTATTTTATTTGTTATAAAAATAAAACACTCTTTTTTTAAAAAAAGTGACAACACAAAACTATCCCCCAACAAGAACTATTAGCAACCATTTGTGGGCAAAGCTTAGAAATAATGTAGTAAAAATGTGTTACTTTTAGAGAAATAAATATACTTTGATATTTAACAGATAGTGCAGATAAAAGATATCAAAGTGCCATGCTAATTTAAATAAAAGAGGGGTTATCAACTGCCAGTAAATGATCCTTTAGAACTGACAATAGAAAAGAACATGAGCTGTGGTTTTTATACCTGTATCATAGGGGCAATGTCAGGTTCTCTATGGGGTTTCCGAAATTCCCCTTCCAGGGCAGCTATGGGGAACACATTAAATCAAGCTAATGATAAAATTCTCCTAAATTTGGGGACTATGTTATCATATAAACATGAGGCTGGTTTAGTCACTCAAACTTTGTTATTTGGAATTATATTGTGAGTGAAAGTAGCAATCCCTGACCTTCTATAATCTATATCTTAGTATTATATTGATCCAATTTGATTAACTCTAAGGTGAAAATGTCATCATTAGAGAAACCATCCAAATTTTGTGTCTTTTGTATCCTTGTTTCCCAGGAAGGTGATCATTTTATTATTTGTTTATTTATTAAATTTTTATGCTGCCCATCTCCCCCACAGGTACTCTGGGCCACTGTTCATACTGTTATGTAGTCATATATGAGCCCTATGTAGTAATTGTGTTTGGGCTTTAGTTGCAAACAATTTAATTGCAGCAGGGATAAATTGCTCCTCTAGAACAATAGTAACTTTTCATTGCTGATGAAGATCTCTCTAAACTGTGGGATACATGGTCCACCTGGCCATCTCTGCTTGAAAAAATTCTTCCCCGTTACTCTTACATCTATGCGCTAGGCCTGTCCGAGCTATTTTTTCCATTCACATCAGAGCCAGATGAACAGTTCTGTACACAAAGTTGCAGTAGTTATACAATATAGAACCATAAGAAATTGTAACATCTCAATAAAACAAGCCTTGGTTAGAGAGCTCTGCCCATAACTAGATTTGCTTAAACTTCTTATATCAAAAATATTTTTTCTTGGCCGCTATGATTTCCCTTTAGTACCCCTAGAAGGAAATAACTGTAGTGACTAGAAATCAGCAGGAAATTGGATCACAGTCTCAAGGAAGATTTTTCTTTAAGTGAAAAGTGATTTTTTTAAAAAAAAATATTAAGTATGTGATGTGTGTGCCTTAGGTTCCAAATTAAGTATATTTTGTTCACAGGTCATTTAATAGTTTTTTAATTTTTTTAAAAATTAGTATTTTACACATCTTAAGTCTTACCTATGATTCGTCTTACTGACAACAGTAATTTATATTATTGTTATGGGATTTATAACTTGTCTTAAAGATTAAAATAATGAGAAAGCTTTCCCTAAAACCAACACATTATTTTTATGGTGACATTTCAAAAGAAAAATTTATCTTACTTTTTCTAAGCTAAATCCAATTCCTGTGATTTACTATTATGGCATCAATTAGATATGTCAGGTACCTAGTTAACCTTTGGTTAACTCTCTTTTAGACAAAGAAAAATGTTTATTAAGGTGACACACTATTTCTAATGATAGCATTCTATACCGTGATACATTACAAAGAAGAGGTAATTTTTTAAAATATTTTCTGGGTTTCCTACTTTCAGCAGAGAGTTGATTTGCTATCTACCCTGTCTCCACTCCTGAGTGAAGTTTTAATTTATATTTTCCAATTTTTCTGTGAAATGGTAATTCTTAGTCAGGATCATGTAATATTCTGCTGACATTAACTACTAGAGATGATTATATTTGGGATATAAGAATAAAGATGAATTTCAGTGAATCAAACTGCTGTCTGTTTTACCAAGTGCTATCTACATCAACTGGCAGATTTTTGTAGGATTAAAGTAAGTTTATTTCCCACCTCTTGCTATTCAAGATTATTTTGTGAACTAAAAAAGCCAACTTGTGATCTTCCTATAAGTAAGAATGCTGCTTCCCCTATATAAAACATACCTATGGTATTTCTCCACCTCTAGATTACAAACTGAATTTGCTTTGTTAAAAATTGATTTCTTTCTTCTTCAGCTGAAAGGGTTCTTGATAGCCATTTCATACTTGCAAATGAGGTATAATTAGTGTGTCTTTCCTATGACTTATTTGAATAGCACTTTTCTTACAACAGAAAATTAAACAGAGAAAGAGACGCTCTAATGTATATGCTCTATAATCAATGAAATCTTTTGGAATGTAAGCCCTTCTTTTCCCTTGCATTCACATGTACTAAAAAGGGCTCAGAATTGCTTTAAAGTAAATGGGTGTTGAAGTGTCACCACAGGTCAAGCAATAAAAACCAAACATGTTCTCCATATTCACTATAATGTAAGTACCTCTTTTCACTGGAAGCTTAAGAGCAGAATTTTGAAGTGAATGCTTCTAGCCACTTCAACACTTCTTATATTTGACTACACTTCTGAATGATTACTTAGTTCATATTTTTCATACTGCTGTAGACTTTTGTATTACAAGTATATTCTAAGGGAATGCTTTTCTTTTTATATATAAATGGAAATAAAATTGTAAACTATTGTTGTAAAGCTTTAATAATAAGAATACAACAAACTAAATTAGAGCAGAAAAGATTTAAAAGAAAAAGGCACTACAGAAAAAAACAAAAAATGCAATAAGAAAATTTTAGAAGGAGCAATCAAAAAGAAAAATATAAAGACATAAACAGTGGCTTCTGATCCACCTCACAGCAAGAACAATTATATCTTAACCCTTCTCTCTAAAGTTATACCTCTTCTTTCCATATCTATCTTGTTTAATTATCAAAGCCATAAATTACAAATTCATTGTTTAAATTTTAAGCAAAAAATCCATAAGGGGTTTCCAGTCATCAATGAATGTAGATATTGTCTTTTTTCTAATCAAAGAAGTTAGTTTATCCATTAACATCAAGATCTATTCTTGCTGTGGTAATCATGTATTGAAATATTATTCCATGACTCTTTTCAAACTGTTACAATTGCTAAAAAAATGTGCTATTTAACATTTTTGCCATACACCAAATAAATAAATAAATAAATATATAAATCCATCATCCATCAATTATAAAAGAAAAAGTTTTGGCTTCAATTGAATAAAGGCAATGTTTTTCCCTGCCCAGTTGTGTTCGACTCTAAGCAGCGATACGTATCTTAGTTTCTTAGCCGAGGGAGCCAGCACTGTCCGAAGATACTTTGGTGGTCATGTGACCAGCATGTCTATATGCAGAGGTACACAGAACATCTTATTCTTCAAAATCTTGTTTCAATATATGCATTTGAATCAATTGTTAAAGGTTTATTTTACCTATCACCAAGCATATCCCTTGTTCACATCTCCAATATACATTGGAAGTGCCTTTATACATTCTAACTTCTCTGGCGTTGTATACCAACTAAAGGGGTGTTTTTCAACCAACAGAACACAAAACTAGTTTAAATAACAGGAAAGTCTTCTTTCTAAATGAGGAAAGAACCCACATAAGAGAAAGAGTGGAGAAGGTCTGAACAGTGTTTCCAGCTTCATACACTGAGCAAGGGAACTAAACATCTCAGCACAATGCCTTGGAAGGAGCCTCTGAAAGATTTGAGCTGGGAACAGAACAAAATAATGCTTTGTGCTAGTTAACATTGTTTCACATTTCACATTATTTGGAAGTTTGTTTTTTAAATTTAGGCTTAGTGGAAGACAGTTGCTCAATGGAATATAGTATTTTAATATAGTTAGCTCTCACTGATTATTCAGAAATATTTTTTAATTTCAACATAGGGGAAGACTGCTCCAGTGTCAAACATTTCTTAATTCTTCACAGTTCTCAATATTTTACAACTGTTTTGAACATTTTTTCTGTATGCTATTAAAATTTACTGTAATTGGTTAATAAGACTGGCCAATTGTTCCAAAGTAAAAAGTGATGAAGGACTTTTAAAATAAGTTCATACAATACATTAACAGATGAAGAAATAAGTCAATTTGTAATTATCTCTAGCAATAGAGTAACATACATTTATCCAATTGACAAGTAGGAATTCCATA